AAGATTCCTTACTTGTAATTCTCCAATTAATGTACGATTTTCACTTGGGAAATAACATTTCTTTGAAATATTAAAAGTAGCATGTGGTTCTTTTGGCATACCCGCTGGAACATCAACAAGCAAATACTCAACAGGCATCGGACGACCGTCTTTACGTGTTTCCACGCCATATTCATTTTTCTCCTGAAAAAAGCAATTTCGTTTTTTTTTATGAGCTAAAGCCCTTCCAAGTGTTTCTGTTAGGAGAACTAGTAACTGTTTTAGGAAAAAAAATGAACGTAAGGATCGCCAGTAGATCGACCATCGCCGTTGTCATAATGGAAATAATTTCCCATGCCAAAACTTTTACGGGGCCGTACGTGTTTCCCGTGGACACACAGAAAGGCTGAATTTAAATTTGCGGGGGGTCGTACGTGGGCGGGGAGCACTCCCCTAAATCTTCAGCTTCCTAGCTTTTGTGGTTCTCGAATTGGAAGTTGCGGACAAAATGCATCGGACACACACACACACATACACACCCACGTACACACACGCACGCACACACACATACACAAAAATACACATACAGACAATCCCGTGACAATATGCGTTTTGTGCAGCTGTTGCACAGCAAAAAACGCCTAAAAACAACTCGAGCCCACACGTATCTGAGCACTGGATTTGAAGTCTTTAGCTCATGGGTGTATAGAAAATACTGTGAATATTCCTGCAAAGTTACAGCTCGTTACTTTGGTTCTCGAGATCGCATTCTATCCAAAAAATTTGCATATTTTTTAAGGCGTTGAAGAACCCGATTAATCGTCCACGGAAAAAAATTTCGAAAGAATTTTGGATTAATTTTATGCTAAAACCTACCATGTATTGAACGTCAGTGATGTATTGAGTTGGTGTTAGTGGAGTTTCGCGTAAATAAGCCAATTCAGGATGTGATGTTGGACATAACAGGTTTGCTTCGGTTAGAGCAGCACATTGATTTGAAACTTGATAACCGATAAAATCAATCTGATTCCATTCATTCCCTGCAAAATTAATCAGACTTTTACAATAAATTCGTAGAATTCCTCTCTCCTGCTCAAATTTGAGCGTTTGTTTTTTCACATAATATGTCAAATAATGATTTGTGGTTTTCTATTAGAAATTGCTCAAGGAACAACTGTGTCACTGTGATGCAATACCCTGGTTCCCGGTTCAATCTTTGGACACTCTACCCTCGTTAAAGCTTTGCAATCTTAGTGATCTCTGATCATT